TCACCCTTATTGCTTGCTTTAGGTGACATGTTTATTGCAAACCCAATTATCTGCAATGTGAATCTCTAGTATCTGGTTGAAATGCTGCAACTCTGTAGGAATCCCCTCATCTTTTGCTAAAAATTTATTAGTAGATATCGACATAAGAATTGGCTCTGTGCAGGGACAAGAATCTTGAAGGTTCTAAGCTACTAGCGGATCTCATGCTTTGGTCTACTTGGTCGCTGGTCAACTTGGCTTAATTACCAGCTTAATAGGTTTCTCTCTCTTAATGTTTTAGGTGGCGTATATGTTTTTGGATATCCATATTTCCAGCTGCAATGCTTGCTGTTTTCATGGAACTCTGCGTGGAAAGTCCTCAGTGGCTTTTTAAGGTTACTTTCTCATTTAACCCGCATAGCTCTTAAAGACGTTTTCATAAACCATTTCTTCTGTTGATTCTCTTTCTATGTATTTAACCGCAGAGAGGAAGGGCAGCTGAAGCTGAAGCTGTGTTTGAAAAGCTATTGGGAGGGGCATACGTCAAAGCTGCTATGGCAGAGTTAATGAAGTCGGATAGAGGAGATGACGCGGATTCAGCCAAATTGTCGGAGTTGCTTTTTGGGCGCAGTTTTAGAGGTATGTGTGATCTTTAACCAACAAAATTTGTGACAATGTGTGGTATTAGTTTGACGTCAAATATCCCGTCGTAAATATTAGATCTTGATTTTGTACCCATTGAGCCTAAACGGGTGATGAAATGAGATTGGGGTTAAACTTGACCGTCAAAGAGTTGAATCATCTACGCGGAAGGTATGCTAAACAGGATGTGAACCAAAGCAAAGTAATTGTCATTTGCTAATAACATATGGGTGACATGTGTAGGTTCTTAATTTCATTCATTTTTACGTTTTAATTTTCTCCGTTTGCAGTGGTTTTCATTGGATCTACCCTTTTTGCTTTACAACAGTTGTCTGGAATAAACGCTGTGTTCTATTTCTCATCAACTGTCTTCAAGAAAGCTGGTGTACCTTCAGCCTCTGCAAACATATGCGTAGGACTTTGCAACCTCTTAGGTATTGAAGTGGACTTTTTCTTGTACATTCTACTATGGCTTGAAAGGCATCATCATGTTCACAATAACTTAAAAAAGCAAGTAGACAAAATGCAGTCTTCCTCCATTATTATCTCAGTAGATGAGGTCTGAATAGAAATGCGACATTTGGAACAGTAAACACAAATGTTCAAGTGAACAACCTCTTCTTATCGCAAAAATGATTATAAAGAAAGAGCTGGAAATTTTTCATTCAAGATATTAAAATTTGTCAAGTGAAATGATGATCTGTATTTAAAACGGATTTGAGCATCAATCATGCTCTTTCACAGGTTCAACTGTGGCAGTGGTTTTGATGGATAAGCTGGGGAGAAAAGTGTTACTTATTGGGAGTTTTGCGGGCATGGTAATTGTTGAGAGTGCAAAGCGCTATTTGAATCATACTTGATGTAGCTGATACAAATTAATGTTCCATGTATGTAGATATAAATGTGTATTATCTTTACCAGGCTGTATCGCTGGGTCTTCAAGCAATGGCGTATACTTCGCTTTCATCACCCTTTGGAACCTTGTTTCTCTCGGTTGGAGGAATGCTACTGTAAGTTTCCTATAACAACTACGGTAGGATGTTTTTGATAAAGGGGGAGGGTGTTTTTGATAAAGTTGGAGTGTGATGACGAAAATGCAGGTTTGTGTTGTCGTTTGCAACTGGAGCGGGTCCTGTTCCAAGTCTTCTCCTGTCTGAGATATGCCCCGGTCGTCTTCGGGCAACGGCGTTGGCTGTTTGTCTTGCTGTTCACTGGGTATGGCTTTTTCCTTTGTGGACTTATTTAGGAATTGGATAACGTTGAAATAATAACCTTGGCGGATGACACGCAACAACAGGTTATAAATTTCTTCGTGGGGCTGCTGTTTCTGAGAATGCTGGAGCAACTAGGTTCGGTGCTTCTTAATGCAACCTTTGGGTTCTTCTGTGTGGTGGCAGTTATCTTTGTGCAGAAGAACGTGATTGAGACTAAAGGAAAGAGCCTCCAAGAGATAGAAATCAGTCTGCTCTCTTCCACCCACTGATCCTCTTTATTCATTTTTGCCTCTCTTATTTTTACACAAGTAAAACATGTATAACTAATATGGAAGTAGGAGTAGGTACAACATGTAAGGATTTCGGATATTATTCAAGTATAGCCTACGTTACAACTGTGATTTTACAATAAGTAGATAAGATAAGTCCCAACTTCAAATAATCGTAGGTTTTGAATCCATATACAGAAATGTACCTATCTTAACTTCTTTCTTGTATCACATGAATGATGTTCCCTTATTGTATACACTGTAAACAGCTATCATATTCTTCTCTGCTTTAGGCGGCTTGCCTTAGCTTTTTACACTTCCAGTAATTTGCATCTGCTTACTCTTCTAGACTTGGTGCATGACACCGGAGCATCTCTGCTTACTCTTCCCAATTCAATTCATTTGCCACTTGAAAGACCTTCCCGTTGTATGGCAATCACAGGCTCGTTACATATAAGACACCGGAACGATGCTGCTGAAGCGCAGCGGGTCCTTATGCAGTAGTAACAGTACCTGCCACAAGTCATTATTTAAGGCATAACTCATAAGTAACAATTATATAGCACATACTCTTGAATTCTTCACCCATCTCCAACAACATCCCTTCTGTCTTGTCAAACTATATATGGACTGTAACCCTATAACTCCTCAAATGCGCAGTAGCTTCTAGTAGAATTACGTTAATACCTATCTCGGGAAGAGGTATGTCGAGGTACATAGAAAAATATCATACCTGTGCTGGCAAGGCAGAGCAATAAACGGAATTGCAGGATTCACTTGACAAATAGGGCAATTCACTGTATCCTCTTTAGTGCTTGAGGACCTGTCCTTGGCAAATGGACTAAGAATATTCTTAACAGCTGAAGAGTTGAGCAGCGGAAGAAGTAACAAAAGCATTTCCTGAATAGCACAAACAAAATTAAAGCTGAATGACAAACAGAACCTGGAAATCAGATCCAAAAAAACGTTTTTACAGCAGGCAAGAAAAATACTCATCAATTGGGCAAATAGGTCGAAAAAGAACGTTTGACTTATAGAAGGATCTGAAAGAGAGAAAAAGGAACAAATACATTGTTTTGAATATAGACAAAATATTTGGACTCCCATGAGTCACAGGCTGTACCTAGTTTAGATTCCAAATATGGACACCAAATGTTTTCAGCTTTAACAGCCATGTTTGAGCAGAAAAAGTAGTTCTTCGAAAGGCAACATAAATCTAAGCGGACAGATACTCTCAGTCAAGGAAATGTTAGGGACCAGTGAATATCAACCATAAGCCAGAAATAATCAAGCCAAAGAATAGTACTCAGAAGTGATAGGTTGTCAAACTTTTAAATTGATTTTGGCATATGTAAGCACACAGAAGAAGGCCTACCGAAAATTCATTCCACACAAGTTGGCGGTTCATGTACTCGAAGCTGACAGATCGGTTCATATGGGGACTCCTGTAGACAAGCCTAGCTTTTAAAGCTTTTTCAATGAGGTTCCTATACCTGGATGAAGAAAGAAAAAGAAGCGTAACAGAAGTAAGAATCATCAAGAAGTTTCGAAATGTGAATTTCGGGTCTAGTAGCAATCTTTCATTGCTGTGTGAACTTAGATTTCAATTGCCAAGTTGTACCTTCCCGTATAAAGAAATGACAATAGGTTAAGAAAAGAAGCAGCTTTGTAGATGCCTTCGATTCGTTGTATGAGGGTCCAAAGACGCCTTGCCAATGGTCTCTACAAAAGAGCAAGGAGAAAAGAATGAGCCAGCTATATGACGAGCAGAAGAAGGAAGAGCGACTCGATGAAGAGGCCTACCTGCTCAGAATCACCCCATCTACGGAAAGCAGAAAATGACTGCAAGCGGGAGAAGAGATACTGACCACCAACGGAGGCAACACAGTACCAAATCTTTTGAGGAGCAGTAAGGCCGGGACCTTCAAGGCCTGTTCTGACTGTAGGGAGAGTACAAGAGTGAGGAGGAGGAAGAGTAAAAAAAAAAAAGAAGCGCAAGGTGGAACAAATAATAGACCTAAACCTGATTGATGAGCTGCCACTCGTTCATCTCTGTATCTTAGATTCATGAGAGCATTTCCGGGGGTGGGTTTGTCAACCCAAATAGAGAATCTCCAAATGAGGAACTCAAGGAAAGCATCAAGTTCTGGTTCGTATTGAAAGAGCATTCCTGGCTAGTGCCAAAGAAAGAAAGAGAAGCGAAACGTTATAGAGAGAGAGAAGGGGGAATATAAGAAGAGCCATCTGGTGGGATTTACCTTCATCAAAGTGAAAACCTTAACCAACTGCTCCTTCAACATGGCTGACATTTCAACATCTAGTCGTGCAGCGTCAAACTGATTCACTCTAGAGATTGCAACCGGTATAACTGACTGCCATAAGAGATTAAAGCACCACACATAAGCCACCAAGAAGCTATCTACTAGAGAGAAGAGCAAGCAAATACCCGGTGGGAAGCGAGAAGAGATTGCGATTGGGGAAGCAATCGGTGATAAGAGCGGATCCAAGCATCGTCTGGAGGCGGCGTCATTGGCGCGGTGTAGCAGGGCTAGGGTTTGCTATTCCGGCAACCGAATATAAACCAAAGTTTATTGATAGCCCCGACCGACGAGGGTGTTACCGTCTTTCCCCAATTTTTTTTTTTTAGTAGCTACTTTTTGTCTCTTTTCTCTTGTGCAGAAACAGATTCAAGACTTTTATACAGTAACTATTTGTAGTCTCATCAGCATCCATCACCCTTTTTTTTAATAAACTAGGTTGGTTTTTCTATGTCTATGATTTGCTAAGGACATTTGTTTTGATTTAGTTTTTGGTTTTCTAACCCGTATTTGGCCATCAAGCTTTATGCCTTGGAGTTTATGCAAACGAACGTTTTTGTTTGACCTTTGGATAAGTATAGTAATAATGTACTACTGAATATGGTACTTTATATGAGAATGTGGAATTTTGTAACCGTAATAACAACAGAAAAGGTAAGAAATATGGAATTCGAAGAGATGAAACAATCCTATCACACCATGGGGCTTGGGTTAACCTGACTTACCCAGAGACTAAACAAAGTGTGTCTCAGGGAGGAGAATTGTGCTGAGGTCCTCCACCACTCTACATTCTTACACTGTTCCATTTCCAAAACCTTTTGACTTGCACATCTGAGTGGCGGCGGCGACCTGAGCTGCCAAGTCTGGCTCCCCTAACCTCCGGAGTCCCTTGCTCAAAACCTCCGCTACGTACTCGTCCGCCTCCCACGATTTAGACCCCCACCCGCTCTCTCTCATCATGGCGTATATCCTCACCGCCGATTCCCTCCTCTCTGCTCCCACCACCGCCCTGATCAGTTTCGCGAGGGCCTTGTCGCTTTGGTAACCACCCTCAATTCCCTCCATTTCGCCGATCAGACGGTCTATCTCTTCCAACTCCCTGTTCCTGGAGAGAGCGTTGACGACGTCGGCGTAGAGGACGAGGTCGAGGGGAGGATACTCAGAACGGAGGGTGGAGAGCACGTGGACAGCGAGGGTGCAGTGGTCCTGGCGTAGAAGCTCACGGAGGACGGAGAGGAGGTCAGATTTGAGTAGACGGCGGAGAGGAGGGAGACTAAGGGAGAGGGAGCCGGTGCGGTGGGCTCGCTTTAGGGACTGGATCGATTGGATGGCTTCGGAACTCAGGATCCGACCTTTCAGAAGAGGTCCGCGGTTGTCGCGGGGGCCGCATCGGATCCAAGCCAACCTTCTCCTAGGCACTACGCTGCTAAGGCTATGGCTTAGGGTTAGGCTTGGTGGTCGAGGCAGGTTGAGAGAAAGCGCCATCCACCACTCCTTTCCAGTCTTCTACTCTACCCTTAGCGATGGAGGAGGGAGCGCGTGTGCGTGTGCGTGTGCGTGTGCGTGTGTGTAGAGTGTGAATGTGTGATCCTCCATCTAATGTAAGAGAGGCCCATTCTAGGTGTTCACATTTACATAAGGTCATTAACAGTTACTCATGGTCCATATCAATTTATACGGCCCATTTATTTTAAAACGGCCCAATTCCTTTACAACTCTTAACTCTTAAACTTTTCAATTTTATTACTAAAAAAAACTTAAGAGATATGTTTAAAAGCTTCCCATTAATCATGCTCTTATTACAGAATTCGTTACTTCGAGCTGCTATCTGATTGTTGCAACTTGCGAGACTAGAGAACATAATCAATTAGGATATATATCATATATAGAAGGTTCGATGAATGGGGAAAAAAAAAAAAAAAACAAGTAAACATGAAAATCAAACAAGGAGAAGAAGAGGCCACAATTTGACTAATTAATTAAGACGAGATGAAACAAGAGCTACAAGCTACGGTGGGGAGCAGAAAAAGGAAAGCAGCAAAGGGAGGCAAGAAAGAGGGAGTGAGCAGGGAGGAGGCAGCAGAGACCGAGGGGGAGGCAGAGAGAGGGGACATGGATGGAGCCGTGGAAGCATTGCCGTGATGGTCATGATGGTGGATATGCATGACTTCGACGATGAGACGCTGGCCGCTAGTGCAGTGCTCGTTGGAGCCGCTGATGAAGTAGAAGAGACCAGGACGATCAAGACTGAGTGTGCTGTTTCCATTGTCAAAGGCTGTAATGGGATCGCTGCTGTTGCAGTGGTAGAACCCCCATTTGTCCACCTCCATCACCGAGTCTTTGTCGTACACAAACGCTGCAGCCATGCATATATATATTATATATAAGTAAGTAAGGTGATTAGAAACCAATGGACTGAATGTAGAGATCATCAGATCAAAACAAAATAACTAAGTTGAGTTGGAAGAACAGCTCACAGAGTGAATCACCGATGTGAAAGCGGTTGCTGCTTGCCCAGTGGCTGTAGACGTCTGTATCATTATGGAGTGGGACTCTCCACCCGAACTCGTCTCCAACCTTGAAGAGCCTAGGACCTTCCGCCGCCATGGCCACCACCACGGCACAAATGCACAGCATGATCAGTAGATTACAAGTCGTCGACCGTGGAGATTTCATCATCTTTATAGTCAGTAGAATAGTTTTGAGTGCTTGAGTGAAAATGGTTCTGCAGACTGCAGGGAGGGGTTTATATAAAAGGAGAGAAGTGGCGGTTGAGGAGGAACGGTTACTTCGTGCAGGTCATGGGTGATGGTGGTGGCCCCTTTACCTTCCGCTTCTTTCTTTGACCACGTTTTAATGACGTGGACCAATCACCTTCTCCTTTAGCGATCTTCTCTCTGAAACGCCGCGTTTCGACTCCCCCCCCTCTGGCTGTGGCTGTGATTACTTTCTTTTCTTTCCTTTTATCTCTAATCTAGATATCTCTCTATGGCGGGGGCGGCGATGCATACATCGACGGACTTGTTCAATTTGAAGAAACCCAACATCTGGAAGAAGCCGCCTCATCGGGCTTCGGTTTCCTGCTGTCTGGGCAGCTCTGGTGGTGATATCTCTCGGAAAAGGAAGCTTCCTATTCTCCTCTTCGACGTCATGGACACCATCGTCCGTGACCCCTTTTACCACGACGTTCCGGCCTTCTTCGGGTGAATCTTATTCCTACTCCACTCGATTAGTTTTTATTCATGATTCATGCTCTGTTTTTTAAAAAAAAAATTAAAAGAAAATACTCGACTGTCTTTCCCAGAATGCCAATGAAGGAACTACTAGAGTGCAAGCACCCTATGGCCTGGATCGAATTTGAAAAGGGTTTGATTGATGAGGTACCACTCTTTCGAGTATGACGGATCATCATAACCTTCTGCTTTGACTTTTGAGTTTTAATTTGTTTGGGTTTAGGAGGAGCTTTCAAGAAAGTTCTTTATAGATGAGAGGGACTTTGATTTGGAAGGTGCGATAGATAGATAGATAGATAGATAGATCGGATTTCCTGGTACCTATAAATTAAACTCTTCTTTACCAATGCTATCCACTTTCAGGGCTTAAGGAGTGCATGAGGTCAGGATACTCCTACTTAGATGGCATGCAAGAGCTTCTTCAATCTTTGGCAGCTCACAACTTGGAGATTCATGCTTTCACCAACTATCCCATCTGGTTTCCATCCCCTCCCCTTTTCACCTGTCTAACGACATCCTTTTTTAAGGGAAATACATATATGTCCAACATGCTTTATACCTCTTCACTCCTCTCTTTCCATAGGTACAACATTATCGAAGACAAGTTAAAGCTTTCCGCCTACTTATCATGGACGTTTTGTTCCTGCAATGCTGGTACAACACACTACTTCTCTCTTGCCTCTTTTTACTACTTATATATATATATATATATTGTTTGTCACAACTCTCTTTAATCATCTTTCAGGAAAGAGAAAGCCTGATCCAGAGTTTTATCTCGAGGTTGTGGGACATCTCGGAGTTGAACCTTGCGACTGTATATTCATCGATGACAGGTTAGCTGGAATTGTTTTTTTTCTTTTTTTTTTCTATATGAGCTCAGCCTCAGTGGTTATCTAAAGAAACCATTTTTGATCCGAGGGAGTCTCTGACACGCAGGCCAGCCAACGTCAATTGTGCAATAGAGATAGGGATGGGTGGATTATGTTTTGAGAATGCTGTTTCGCTCGCTAAGGATCTTACGCATCTAGGGATCAACGTCTCTGTACCCAGAATATGATTGGATGTAAATTCTAATTTCTATTGCATCAGCTTTTGTATTACTTTAAAGAAATACTCAAATAAAAAAAACACATTGTTTTGGGATGCAAGTAGAGTCTTTGCTAGATTATATAAAGCAACAAGAATAGCAAAAAGGAAGTCCCTGAGATTAACTAAGCAGTAGAGGAGAGCAGTATGACTGTAATAAAGGAAGAGGAGGCGAGGAAGATGAAGGAGAGGAAGACTAAGAGCAGAGAGAGGGCGACGTGATTGCAGAAAGAAGAAAGTGTCTTGCAGAAGTCAGGGAGAGGGGTGTGCCTGATGCCGGTTTTGTTGAGGTTGGTAACTCCAGAACCGGCTGATCCAGCGCTCATCATCAAATAACCAAAGAGCTGCAGTAAATCCACGGGTCACACAATCAGAAGAGAAACTAATAGAAAAGGGAAATCAGAAGAGAAACTAATGGAAAAGGGAAGATGAAGGACCTGGTCGGAGGTGAAGCAAAGCCAAGCTTGGAAGCGTGAGGGTGTGATGGGAGATCCGGTGAGGAGCCTGTAAACACCAAAACAAAGCTGGAACAGGGAGTAGAGCATGGTCGCTGTGCATGCCCCCACCACATACCTTCACACCAAACTCCTCTAAATGAGTTGTATGACTGATTACTTATTATATATATAATCTCAAAATTTAAAAGAGGGGCACACAATAATGTCATGTCATGTTGTTGTTTGGTTCACGAATGTGTTTCTGTTCACCGGAAATTCTGTCATGTCAAGGCACACGTTTTGTTTTGCTGCTTTCTGTTTAGTATTATATGCAATCAGAATTATGGGAACTCAGGTAAAGAAGAATCTTAATGGCAGTCTATCCCTAACAATGCTCGTAAAAAAGAAGAAGAATAAGAATAAGAAGACTGACTGGTAGGAGGGAGAGAAAGACCAGTTGGAGGAAAGAGTGAGCTTGAAGCCGTAGATGTCTGCCACTCCCTCCTCACTTGCGGTCAGCATCACCGCCATGGCCGTGGCTGAAGCAGCCAAGCTGCCTCCCCTGAGAGCCACTTGTACTACCTCCTGAATTCTCGTCCTCTTCGCCACCACCTCTTCTCCCTCTTCATTTCTCCTCATTCGGACCCTTTCTACTTTTATTTTGTTTGTTTGTTTTGTTATCTGCCTATTTCTATTTTTTCATAAAACTCACACACAAACTGACTCCTTCATTCTTTATACCACCGCAACAAGTACTCCCTTTTTCTACTCCACCTTTTCCGTGTTGCAATGCTTCCTCCTCTCCTCTTTTCTTTTCAATACGACTTTGTATTTTTATTTTATTTTTAAACGAAAATTGTGAACTTATTTCAAGCATCTCTGTTTGGGACTTGTCTATCTCTTTCTATGTACATGAGTCATGTGAAATTAGCGTGCCTCACGTTCTCAACTCATTGAAGACGCGAAAATACCAATGAACCAAATTTGAGTGATCTATATATGTAGGTTACCTTACCTTGTCATGTCTTCGACATCAATATGTGAATGTGGACGATAGGTTAACACTGATTTAATTTATGGTATATGAAAAGCAGTCGGTAGATATATGGATATACATCAATAAGTAATTTATGATTACTTATCTGTATGTGTACATGTTTAAAAATTTTGTAACATTAGGTAAGGTAGGGTGCCGCACCAACTGAGAGAAGAGAAATTTGAGGAGTCACAAATTTATAAACTTTAGAATGTATTATTATCCGGAATTCAACAGAAACAGAATGATCGTGATCCCACAGAAACAGGAAACTAAGCCAAGCAAAAAGTGGACACGTATCGTAAAACCTTGGCACGTCAAAAAGATCAGGTAATATATTGATGATGACGATGAGTTCGCCTGAATAATTTGCAAGAATGGACCCATCCACATACATTGTACGTCTCTATTCTATTATTTTCTTTTCGATTTCGAAAAGCATGTTCAACTACACGCAGTAGTATTCTATTTTGAATTTTCAATTTCTTAGCACTAGAAAACCAAGGAAATGGAAAGATTTCTATATAATTGGCATCTATTACTTACCATAGTATATACACACTAGCTATACTAATATACAGAGAAAGTATTTGGTCACTTGGCCTTTGTGTTTGAAATTAACGAATATATATATATTGTATATATATGAAATTATGAATGATATTATAACTTACACTTGGCCAGGATCACAGGACGATATTATTATTATTAATTAGGGTAGTATATATATGACGATGAGTGTTTAGATATTAAGCTTTTGGCGCTTACTTAATTGGGACTACTAAATCTAATACTACATATCAATTAAGGTCCCTGGTGATTGCAGGCATACAGCTTGAAGTACGGGAAATGGCGGGCTTATTGGGTTTAGGGCTAATAGACTGACCCCTCGTGCTTCTCCGGAGCATGTCTCTCATGGCATCAGCTTGGTAGAGAGCAGGATACTCCCTCCCCAGCTTGTTGAACCTGAGGCAGGCGCTCATGTGCTCCTTCAAGGCCCCTTCAAGCCCATCCTCGTCCCTTTTCTCCCTCTCCTCCTTCACCGCCTCTGAGCAGAGACCGCATATCCACTTCCCAAAGAATTTCTCCCTCACCCTCTCTATGTACTCCATCGTGCACTCCTCCCTCATCCCGCAACACTCGCACTTTGCCTTCTCCACCTCCACTATCGTTCCTAGTCCTCCTTTCTCTTCTTCTCTGTGGAAACCCAACGATATGTCTGACTGGCTCCTATGCAGTGATCCTTTCGCTAGCTTTGGTGGCGGTGGCGGCGGCGGCTTCATCAAGCTTCCGCTCACGCTCTTCCTTCTCCCGTTTGGTGCCATCAAATCTTCTTCTATTTTTTTTTCCTTTTATCTTAGCTAAGCTTGGCTATTTATATATATAACCGGTGCGGTCAGGTTAACATATTCATGTGTGGTTCAGCTTTGCCATCTCACGTACGTGCTCATGCAATAGCGACCTCTTTACTTTACTTTTGTTTTACTTTTCACAACAATATCAATTAATGAAGCCATCAATTCACGTGCTATACAGACATTGGCAACTGGCAACTATCTCTCTATATTGAGTTCATATATGTGGGGATTAGATAACTAAAAACAAACACATTGTTTAGTTTTTTTTTTAGTTTTTTTTTTCTGTCACTGATCTCAACTAGACTAGGTAGAGATTGCAAATCCCAAGGAATACGTAATATATTTCGTACCCTAGCTAAAATCTAATAATTATAGGATATGAGACAAGCGCTAGCTCACGTATATATGTGATTTCTGAGCCAAAAGGGAAGATACAAACAATTTAGTAACAAAAGCAAGCGCTCAAGAATTGAGTGGAGGTAAGTAAAAGGAACTATATGGATCCCAAAGACAGTGATAGGTCACGTGTGTGTAAGTTTTATCTAACCACACATAAAAGAGAAGGGCGACATGGACTTGAGGAAGACCATTCATAATGAAATCCAAAGTTGAAACTTGTAAACATTATCAATCCAAGCAACAACATTATCAATAGTTATGGGTTGTTTTAAGCTCACATTTTGCAGTACAATGGAAAAGTGGGAGGAAGCTCACGTGCATGCGTTGCATACACAAGCTCTTATCTTGTGTATTTATACGTAGCTAATTCCACATAACTCTATATTCTTGTTGTATACGCTGCGTGCGTTGTCAATTATAGTTACACTTTACATACGTACAGTGTAAAAACATAATCATAAATGTATAGCGAGACACCATTTCAGATAGAAAGACCCAAAAACACTTTTAAGGACATTAATGACTCTTCGGATCTGCTGATTTGTTGATTGACACACTCTCTAAACGGTTTATAAATCTTAATTTTATTTATCTGTTAATAAGAGTTTACATGATAGAGGTTAAACCCTTTTGTAGAAATTTCTAACAGTTCATTTTAAATGATATACATTCCTAGATAGAAAAGTGTAATAACCAATTAACCTGTGAATAAATGAATACACATTAGGCCATCACTAATGGCGGTATCCTAGAGCTAATATTTACATGGGAAAGTATCTAATATGTAAAATTAGCTCTAAGATACTGCTATTAACTGTGCTCTTACGCTTCCTTGTTGTTGAATACTTGCACTGCCTAAATTAAGTAATACTATATATTGATTAACTAGTCCAGAGGATCAGGGCATGAGATTAAAACCATGATTAATGGTGGGTTCTAATAACCGGAAAAAACATTATTGATACAAAAAAGAAAAGAAAAATCCAGAGTTACAACAAAACAGTGTGAAAGGGTCCAAAATGATTATTTGGATATGCTTAAAAGCTGCCGGGTGAAAATATGATTATTTGGATAGCACTAGTGCATGTGCTTTAAAATTGAATGAGTAGGCCATGCATTGCTGGGTAAAAAAAAAAGGCTAGAACAAGTTTTGGGATACACACACCTGTTTTATTTTATTTTTAGTTTCCAAAAAAAGAAAAGAAAATGCAACAAGAATTAAATTAATGATCAAGGAAGTAAGAAACGGAAGATGAGTGTGAGAAAGAGAGTAAAGAGGAGCTGTTGGGAGAAGGAAATGGTCTTCTTATTGGTAATTCCTCTACTTTGGAGAGTGGTAGTAGTGTAGAGAAAGGATAGAGAAATGAGAATGTGATGATGAAGATGTGATGATTTGTAAAGAAGGGGCCTCCCCACAACACCCTTGAATTTGCCGCTCCAGCCTTCATCTCCGACCGTTACAACAACCGCATCGGGACGTGGGGAGAAGGAGACCCAACCTCTCTTGGAGTAGACGTGGAACTCTGCATGGCAAAAGTTAAGACACAGAGAATGTCTTTCGTCATACCCTCTTATCATTATCCTCATGGCTTCTTCCCTTGATTCGTTTTTACTATTAATGTTATCATGTTTCTTAACGTAGCAAACCCCTACCCCTTCTGCCTCTTCGTCTTGGCTTCTGCCTCCTAGCTTTTCTCTCACCGCATTCCCTATCCTCTCTGCCTCACCCATCAAATCCCTGCAGAAGATATATAGTGATATAATATATATAGCGAATTTCGTACTTTTAAAAAAAAAAATTAATGTGTACAAATTTTAATGCAAAAATGCTAGTTATTTTTGATGCCGTAATTGAATACCTCAAATCTGAATAACAAGCCGTATTATCATCAGCAATATCTTTAGAAAAAACGAACTCCTCCGTCTCATCGTGAAAAATGGTTTTGTCCATGGCGGCTTTTACCATAGCCTCAGGAACACCGTGGTTAATGAGCTGAAAACAACCGATGGTGGCGGCGGCATCGACCAGCAGGGTGGAGAGGGAGCCTAACCGGAGGAAATCGAAGGTGGGAGGGTTTAGAAGGAATGTGTGCTTGGGGAAGACTTTATCGGGCAATACCAGATTTGGGACTCGACCACACTTGTCCAGGAACTCCGAGAGGACGTCTTCGTTGGCCGTGAAGGACGCCCTGCGGCTGGTTCCTACAGGGGATGGAGGAGGAGCTCGGAAGTCAGGAGAGGAAGCCCCCATTTTTGCTTTGGTCTACTACTACTACTACCACTACATCATCTCGTCAATTCGCTTATGTAGAGGCGTAGAGGAAGGATCGATCATTGGAGAAAGAAAAAGTTTAGTTTTTGTTAATTAAAGCAACAACATAATGATGAGATGCAATTCTCTTTGTTTGGCTTTTTTTTCTTTTTTCTTTTTCTTTTGGGTTTAATTTATCTATCACTCTTTTTCCTTTTTCCTTTTAACAAATAAATAAATTAATGGAATAGATGGACGAAGGCGGGGTTGAGCATCATACTATGGATCCAATTTGGGCCATAAACGGCCTTTTTGTATACCCCAAACGACGTGGATCATTATAGGATGGGCATCGTGTCACAAATCCATCCAAGTTGGAAGAGACTTTTTTCGGTCAAATTAAATAAAGGAATAACTAGAAACGGACCCGCGCTACAGCGAGGGGGAAAATATTTATCTAATATATAATTAAAAGTTATAATAAAAGAAGAAATTGAGTATATGAAAACTTTAAATGATCCCACTTGTAAAATATACACGCTTATATTGTATGTATGTTTTAACAGACCAACTCTTAAAAAATGTTTTAAAAAAATATTAATCATAACCCGTTTGACTATATGATTGTGAGTTTACAAACCAGTCGTGTATTACTAAAAATATCATCGACATAAATGCATAATATTTGAAAAAGCATTATCCAATGAAAGTGAATGGAAATGCCAATATAAACAAAAAAATAAGAATAATAAATCATTCACGTGCAAATTCTAAAATAACAAAATGCAAATGATAAACTTTATGATATAGATGAACCATGTTAATAAAAAATGAGGAAGAGAGAATTTGGATATGGAATGATCCAGTTTTTTCAAATAAGGAAAAGATGAATTGGGTAGATGAATAACATTATTTATAGAGATTAACTTGTCTTCGAATTTAAGTTGATTTCCTTTTTAAAAAATTCCAAAAATATCGTTAGGATTAATTTATTTGTTGAATTGACTTTCGTAAGCATTTATTATAAAAGAAAATTAATTTGGGGGTCTTATAGAAATTTTATGTGATGGAATTTATTATTAAGATTAGGAAAGAAATTCTTCATGTAAACATATTTTACTATGATTACCTTATGAATATATATTACTTATTATTAAATTTTAAATTTATTGATATTTAAATGAGTAATTTTGAAATTTAATTTGCCATTGTAAAACATAAATTACGTAATTACTTATTAATTTTTTCACATGCTTAGTAAAATTCAAAATATAAAAATATTTATTATATTTCCAAAAGTATAAATAATATTTCATTTACTATAAATAATTTTTGTTTTTTGTTATTTATTTAAATGGTGTATATAAGGAGTATAAAATAATAAATGAATATATTATTTTCAATATGAAAATATTTTATTCTTGTTATATATATATATATATATATATATATCTGTATATTTTTTAGGTAATTAAATCTTCACACTTAGATATTGTTTGTTAGAATCATAAAATTTAATTAGATCTCCGAAAATAAATAATCAGAAATTTAAACCAATATTGTATTGTTTTGATTATTAGAATATTTTCTAAAACTGAGATCTCTTTGTATAAATGCTATTTCTAAATTTCAATTTGTCATTATTATTTCCAAAAATATAGTTTTCAAATATAAGTTTTCGGAAGCTATTTTAAATGCTAATTTTTATTAAAACTTTACAATTAATAATTGCGTTCTTTGAAAATTTATATATTTTAAATATTCATATTTTCATTTTAAAATGGATAATTAAATCGTAGCCTTTAATTCTGTATTAGGAAACTTTAATATTTTGGGTGGGTATTTAATCATATTTCCAAATGATTAACCATTATATCAAAGATTACAAACTTATTTGGTAATTAGAATATTATCTAAATATTAAGATCTTTTTTAGGTGATGAGAAACGTAATTACCTTAAAATGTGCAATTGTTATTCACCATTTATATTTAAATATACACAATTAATTTAGATTTCTAAAATATGCATGTATCATTATTATAGTTTCCTAAATAAGGGGAATTTTTAGTAATTGATTTTTTTTAATAGTTAATGTCCATATCCGAATTTTAGTACAAAAATTAAGTATCCATCATTATAATTTCGGGTTATTTTTCTGTTTTTGACCCGACCCGGAAGTACTTTTGTACTTCTCTTTTACTATATAGGGATGTCAAGTAGAAGAGAGATAGAGAGAAAGAGGGGGCAAGTGGGCCAGTGGGCGGGTCTCACTCTATCTCATACCAAATTACCAACAATTCTAAAAGTCTAAACCAACTAAATCTACTACACATTGAATAGAGATGATAGATAGTAGTATGGTAGTTGAATTTTCGCTTGAAACATTTCTATACATATATTGTCTGTAGCTAAAAAAAATAAAATCCCTTTTTCTATTTTGGTCACACAAATTTATCAATTGAAAAGAAATGAGAAGAATAGAGAGAGGTCATAGTCTAAGAAAAGGAGTAATTTAGATTTTGTGGTCTAAAATTGACAAAAGCGTACGAATATAAGGACTGCTGGTCAAAATGGCAAATTGGTGAATAAAGGGAGAAGCCAAGGAGTGGAGACGCAATTTGGGAAGAGATAGAAAAGGAAGACACGTCAATATGTCCATGGAGGTTCTGTGCCATTTGCGAAGCTCTCAGATTTAGAGCGATCCGTGTGAGGGCAGAGAGAGAGAGACGCGCAGGGCTCTGTTGCCTTTCTAGTTCCAAGAAGAGAGAAAGAGAAAGAGCAAGTGAGCGAAACGATCACGGCCACGCTGAAGAAGAAGAGTCTCTCCGTCTCCTCCCTCATCCGCCTCCTCCGTCTAAGAAACAAGGCATCCCTAGGCGCCATGATCTCTCTCAGTCCCACCTCGTTTCTGGTACTATTATTATTATTATTATTATTATTATTATTATTATTATTATCTACATCCTTCCATATATGTCTCCCCTTTGTAATTGTCCCTGCTTTGGTTTCTCAGAACAAGACGGGTGTTCCTGGATGTTCCACCCACCTCTCTCTGCGCCAGCCCAGAATTATAGCCTTTCCTGCCTCCTTCAGAGTGTTTTCCTCCCTCGGATCTAACCGGGATCCCAACGGCAGCGTTTTGATTGAGACCTCTGCCACTTCTTCCTCCTCTCTCGAGACCTCCGCCGCTGACATTGTTCCCAAATCGACCGTCTCCGGTGGAGTTCAGGATGTCTACGGCGAGGATGCTGCCACCGAGGACATGCCCATCACTCCTTGGTCTCTCTCTGTCGCCAGGTACCACCCATTTCCTCCTTTTTTTTTTTTTTAGAACCACCCATTTCCTCCTTAATTGTTCCTTTCTTCTAGTCCCTAGCTGGCCGTCAAAATATGTGTGTGTTTCTGGTGCAGTGGGTATACGTTGTTGCGTGATCCACATCACAACAAGGGCCTTGCCTTTAGCCACAGGGAGCGTGACGCTCACTATCTACGCGGCCTTCTCCCCCCCACTGTTATCTCCCAAGATCTTCAGGTTTCTCGTCTTGTCAGGTTTCACATACCCTTTCTATATACAACTGGATATTTGGACTTTTAATCCTTTTTTTGCTGCACGCTTGTTTACAGGTCAAGAAAATGATGCATACTCTTCGTCAGTATCAAGTTCCCTTGCAGAGGTATATGGCTATGATGGATCTCCAGGTAAACTAACCGACTAGGAATTTTAGCTATCTGAACAACACCAAGGGCCTTCGTTACAGACAGAATGCTTCTGTATTTCAGGAGACCAACGAGAGGCTGTTTTACAAGCTTCTCATTGATCACGTCGAGGAGTTGCTACCAGTTGTCTACACTCCAACAGTTGGGGAAGCCTGCCAGAAGTATGGTAGCATTTTCCTGCGTCCACAGGGACTTTTTATCAGCTTGAAAGAAAAGTGAGTCTCTTTATATGGAAATCACCGACCATTTTCAGTATCCTTGTGCTCATCCTTTTAACTGAATATTCCATTTTCTATAATAGAGGTAAGATTCATGAAGTACTGAGGAACTGGCCTGAGAAGAACATCCAAGTCATTGTTGTCACTGATGGGGAGCGCATTTTAGGGTTAGGAGATCTTGGATGTCAGGCAAGTTGATTCTTTTCTGCTTGCATGAGAGTAATGAGTCAGGGTTTATCCTCTTACTAATTTGCATATTACATGCCATCCTTAATGTCTTCAGGGAATGGGAATACCAGTTGGAAAACTTTCTCTATACACAGCCCTCGGAGGTGTCCGGCCATCTGCCGTAAGTATAGTTTTATGCAAATCAGCTTTATTGCATTCAACCACATCCGCTCATCTTTCTCTCTCTATATATTGGTTGCCAGTGTCTACCCGTTACAATCGATGTTGGGACAAACAATGAAAAGCTATTGAACGATGAATTCTACATAGGGCTCCGCCAAAGGAGAGCTACAGGAGAGGTAAATGGAACCATGCACCTTTCAATAAGACAGTCCTGTGAAAATTATGATGAAATTGAACCCTTAATCCTCTTCTTTCTACAGGAATACTCCGAACTTATGCATGAATTCATGACAGCAGTCAAGCAGAACTATGGGGAGAAAGTCGTTATTCAGGTTAGCTTGACACATGGAGAAGTGTACTCCATCAGCATGAATCTGTTGTTTTGGATCTTAAGAAGTTTACGATCTGTATATTTTGTGACCAGACATGTTTCTTTTGATTTTGCAGTTTGAAGACTTTGCCAACCATAATGCTTTTGATCTGTTAGCTAAGTATGGTACAACACATCTTGTTTTCAATGACGATATTCAGGTATAACAACATCCCGATTAAGTTTTCAGCGTGGATTACATATGTTTACAAAGTTGTGAAACTGTAATTTTTATATAGGGCACGGCATCAGTTGTGCTTGCGGGACTTATCGCTGCTCTTAGATTTGTGGGGGGATCCTTGTCAAACCACAGATTCCTCTTCCTCGGGGCTGGGGAGGTAAGGGTTAGGCTATCCTTTCAGTGAAAACCATTCCGTAAATTTGTGGTTATATATCTTGGATGGGGGTGGGATAATCTGCAGGATTGTTACATGGTTTACTTTTTAATATATATATATATATATTTTTTTTTGTGTGATGCAGGCTGGTACTGGAATAGCTGAATTAATTGCTCTAGAGATTTCAAAGAAGGTAAGTTATAAGCTTGTGTCCACTCTCTCTATTAAGCCACATGTTTTCTTAGATGGAGTTCTTTTTTTCTTAATGATGGTAGTCCCATATTCCATTGGAAGAGGCTCGGAAGAATATTTGGCTCGTGGATTCAAAGGTAACGTATGAGCTGCGAATTCATCTTTTTTTGCATATACTTAAATCTAACAACATCTTTTTATCTATGTAGGGATTGATTGTTAGTTCCCGGAAAGAATCCCTTCAACATTTCAAGAAGCCCTGGGCTCATGACCATGAACCGATACGGGAACTTGTTGATGCCGTCAAGGTGTGTTGGTTTTAGTGCTGCTGCAGAAGATATCACTGCTGAAGAAGCCCTTTTTAACGTCTCAATGTTAAAACTTAACCCACTTGTTTTTTTCATTCAGGCTATCAAGCCGACAGTTCTGATCGGAACATCGGGAGTAGGTCAAACATTCACTCAAGACGTGGTGGAAACCATGGCAGAGCTAAATGAGGTATACTTTTCACGCATAGACTTATATGAAAAAGAAAGAAGCATTTTGGCATATTCATTTTGTCTAGGAGCACATGGTCCTGAATGTCGTAAAATCAATTTTGGTGCATACAGAAACCCATCATTCTTTCTCTTTCAAACCCAACTTCTCAGTCAGAATGTACGGCGGAAGACGCCTATACATGGAGTCAGGTAAACGAATTAAGATTGTGATTTCTCATGATCAGAGAGAAGTGGAGTATTGTTGTTGGGTTACAAAGTTGACCTTTTTTACAGGGACGGGCGATCTTTGCAAGTGGAAGCCCATTTGCGCCAGTAGAGTATGAGGGAAAGACGTTTGTGCCTGGTCAGGTTGTGACCAAAGCTATAGATTTGACAACTGATTTAAGAGAGTTGATTCTGACGTTTGTGTGGACAGGCGAACAATGCATACATATTTCCGGGGTTTGGACTGGGGCTAATAATGTCAGGGACCATCCGCGTCCATGATGACATGCTTTTGGCCGCATCAGAAGCTTTGGCTGAGCAACTGACAGAGGAGCATTACGAGAAGGGGATGATATTTCCCCCCTTCAGGAATATCAGAAAAATATCAGCTCGTATTGCAGCGAAGGTGGCTGCCAAGGCCTATGAACTGGGTAAGTGGTTGTGGTTGCCTGATGTAATGTGTTACAAATGTGAATGGTGCGCACTATTAATGTAATGTGAATTACAACATTACATTTCCTTATACATACAGGATTGGCCACGAGGTTGCCTCAGCCCAAGGAGCTGGAGCAGTGTGCTGAGAGCAGCATGTACAGCCCTTCATATCGAAGCTATCGCTGAGGATCTCTCAGTTGTCATTTCTCATAGTGACTCATTTCTCTCCTCTCCTATTATTTCACCTTCCTCTTTCCATGAGATTTTTGTTTTGTTTTGTTTGTCTGTCAGCATTTTAAATCGAGTTGTAATAACTTTTTTTTTTCTTTCTCGTTTGCTCTGTTCTTTCGTTCATAAGTCCATCCATAATAATCCTATAAAATTGTTTCTCTGGGCTTATCTGTACGTTAGTTTCTTGACAGAAACATGTGTTACTGATTTGCATATGGTGTGCTTTATTTTTAGCAAGTACTCAGGATTTCAATTTTATTGATATTTATTGCAACTGTTGGCTTTGTGTTTTTTTCTTTTTCTTGTTCATATTTTTGAACGTGTTGTTAACTTGTAGATCACACATATATGGTCATCGTATACTCCAAATTAGTGATAGCTAAAACATGTTAGTGATTACTGATTGGTAATGATATTCTATATGTATATCTTGAATCTTTTGGTACATTGGTGTAAACCATCGATTTTATTAAAAACGTAACTTTAAATTAAAGGTAGAAATAGAAAATTAGAGGAAGGAAGGGGTGTGAAAAAAAACACGATACATAAGAAAGAAGAAAAAAAGAAAAGAAAAAGGAAGCAGAGCAAAATATCGCGAAAAATTAAGCGAAATTATCTCAGAAGATAGTCCCGGCGAGAAGAAGTGAGTCTCTCCCTCCCCGTCTCCCGCATCTTTCTCTGTAAGAAGCACTGCTTAGTTATAAAGCTAATATATCTCCTTCAAAATTCAATTCTTGCTACTTGGTCTTCTCCACTTAGATCTTTGAATCTGTTTCTCTCCTCCTCTCCGGGAAGTAAAGAGCGACATTGGTCATGCGTCTTTCTCATTTTCCGGCAATCCTCAAGAGGAAATATAGAATATTTTTTGCTGGATCCAGAGTTTTGTTATTTGTTTATTTATGCCTTTTGTTATCGACGGCAAACCTTACTAGGGTTGTGTGTTTGGCAGGTGGAAGCTGACGAAGAACATTTCATTCCATTCAGCAGTAAGCTCTGTTTGGTTGTTTGATTTCGATTGAGATTTTTAACTTATCTAAGCATTTAGAGAGGTAGCTATCTATAACGGGCGTATTAATCCGATTATCATTATTATCTGACAGTGGTACGAGAAAAAGATATCTGTTGGGAATACGCTGAGAAACTAGATGGCAACAAGGTTAAATGCAAGTTTTGCTCTAGAGTTCTTAATGGCGGCATTAGTAGGTTGAAGCATCATCTCTCTCGCCTTCCCAGTAAAGGGGTCAATCCATGTGCCAAGGTTAGGGACGATGTTACTGATAGAGTCCGATCCATTTTAGCTGCCAAGGATGATCCCAAAGATTCCCCACTCACCACCAACAAGTACAAGCCTCCGGAAGTTAAACCACCTTTATCTGCTTCCCTGCTTCCTGTTACTGTGTCTTCTGGGTCCAAACTATTTCCTACTAGTATCCTTGCACCTCCTACTCCAAATGCGCAGGTGATTGCAGAGAGGAGTATTTCTCTCTTCTTCTTTGAGAACAAGATTGACTGGTGTGTTGCCCGCTCACCCTCTTATCACCATATGCTCGATGCCATTGCCAAGTGTGGTCCTGCATTTTTTGCTCCTTCTCCTTTATCTCTCAAGACTGAGTGGCTTGACAGGGTAAAATCAGAAATTAGTTTACAACTGAAAGACTCTGAAAAGGAGTGGGTCACCACTGGCTGTACTATCATCGCAGAGGCATGGACCGACAACAAATCACGCGCCCTGATTAACTTCTCTGTCTCATCACCTTCCAGAATCTTTTTTCACAAGTCTGTGGACGCCTCCTCATATTTCAAGAATACGAAATGCCTTGCTGATCTATTTGATTCTGTAATCCAAGATATTGGTCAGGAGCATATAGTGCAAATCATTATGGACAACAGCTTCAGCTACACTGGTATCTCAAACCATATCTTACAAAATTATGGAAGCATTTTCGTGTCCCCTTGTGCATCCCAGTGTTTGAGCATAATATTAGAAGAATTCTCCAAGGTAGATTGGGTCAACCAATGTATTTCGCAAGCACAGGTAATATCTAAGTTTGTCTACAACAATCGCCCCGTGCTAGATTTAATGAGAAAGTTAACAGGTGGGCAAGATATTATCAGAACCGGTGTCACAAGGTCTGTCTCCAATTTTCTATCATTACAGTCAATGATGAAACAAAAAGCAAGGCTAAAACACATGTTCAATAGCTCAGAGTATACCACACAGGCTAATAAACCACAGAGCATGTCATGCGTGAATATCCTAGAGGATAATGACTTTTGGAGAGCTTTGGAAGAAAGTGTGGCTATTTCTGAGCCTATCCTGAAAGTGTTGAGGGAAGTTTCTAAAGGGAAGCCTGCTGTAGGTTCTATATACGAGTTAATGTCCAAGGCCAAGGAGTCAATACGAACATACTACATCATGGATGAGAATAAGCATAAGGTCTTTTCTAACATAGTTGATACAAAGTGGTGTGACCATTTGCATTCTCCACTTCATGCAGCTGCAGCATTCTTGAACCCCAGTATTCAGTATAACCCGGAGATAAAGTTCCTCACTTCCTTAAAAGAAGATTTTTTCAAAGTGTTGGAGAAACTTCTTCCCACTAGCGATCTACGGCGTGATATAACAAATCAGATATTCACTTTCACTAGGGCAAAGGGAATGTTCGGCTGTAACCTGGCGATGGAGGCGAGGGATTCAGTTTCACCAGGTATGGACGATACATGTGGATATTTCTAAAGTCATGAATATACGTTTTAGTCAAATTCCTAAGGGTTGCTATTCGTAACTCAAAAATTTAATACAGGATTTTGACTAGTAAACAGAGACTAGGTAGTCTGAGTCGGGAGAAAACAAATCCACATATCTATGACTGCAATCATCTTATTACACAACTAAATAATTCCAGATTGATATAGCCTGGCACATAGTAAACCCCGAATTGCAAAAATCATGCTAGCTTTAGGGCCTATGGTCTGGGTTCTTGAGAATTGGTAACTAAAGACAGAAGTTGATGTCTAATGATGGTTTGCTTAGTAATGCAGGTCTCTGGTGGGAGCAGTTTGGTGACTCAGCGCCTGTTTTGCAGCGGGTGGCCATCAGGATACTGAGCCAAGTTTGCAGCAGTTACAACTTGGAACGCCAATGGAGCACATTCCAGCAGATGCACTGGGAAAGGCGAAACACAATTGACAGAGAAATATTGAACAACTTGGCGTACGTGAATCAGAATCTAAAGTTAGGGAGAATGATAACCCTGGAGACAGACTCAATTTCCCTGGAGGACATTGACATGATGTCGGAGTGGGTGGAAGAGGCAGAGAATCCTAGCCCTGCCCAGTGGCTTGACCGTTTTGGGTCCGCCCTTGATGGAGGCGACTTGAACACCAGGCAGTTTGGCGGTGCTATTTTCAGTGCCAACGACCATAACATCTTCGGCTTGTGAAGTCCTGGTAAAAGGTTTTCATGAGTTGGTCCGGCCGTAATCTTTTGGATCAAGGTTGTTCAGTGTTTAACCCCACCTTGTTCGCTATATTGTACATAGATATTTTGTTATAAAGTATTAAGTAAAATTATTAATGTATTGTGTTGCTCACACGTCGATGAGCTTTGTACAAAGCATGTTCATATAGTAGCTTATTGTAGTAAGTGAAGTGCCACCATATTTGGGATTCAGAGAAACGGTGAGCTTAAGATTGTTTTTGTTTGTTTGTATTGAAGCCGTAATTAACCACTATCAAAACCCATATGGTAGTAGCGGTTATTGGGCCGCTAATGAGGCCCCCCAAAAAAAGATGTAAAATATGTCTGACCGGAGCCGCTGTATTAAGACTCGTCTTCGTTCGATTCGGGGATTCAGATCACAAGTACACCGAGAATGGCGTCGTACCGGCCGCCATATCCTCCCCTTCCTCAGCCACCACCCCAAAATCCTTTGGCCCCTCCGCCTCCTCCGCCGTCTTTACCCCCTCCTGTTCCTCCCCCACCACCGTCGCATCAACCGTACTCTTATCCTCCGCCGCCTCCCCCTCCGCATGCTTACTATCAGCACTATCCTCAATTCAACCAGCTCCAAGCTCCTCCTCCGCATCCTCCTCCAACTCCTCCTCCTCCACCTCCGTCAGCTCCTCCTCCCCTCGTTCCCGATCCTCCTCGAAACCAAGGGCCCAATGACCGCGACAAAGGGGCCTCTAAGCAGGTGGGAAGGCGGGAGCGTGCTAAACCGGATCCATCCAAGCACCACAGGTCTCATCTTTACCATACGAAGAAATTTGAGACCGAAGAAGAGAGGAGGCTTAGGAAGAAGAGGGAGTTAGAGAAACAAAGGCAAGAAGAAAAACTTAGACATCAGATGAAAAATTCTCACAAGTCTCAAATGCCCAAGGGACACACCTCCGTTGTTGGATCTCGCGCCGAGGAGAAGAAGCCGACGCCTCTACTCACCACCGACAGGGTCGAGAATAGGTTAAAGAAACCAACGACCTTCATCTGCAAGCTCAAGTCAGTATTCTCACTTCTAGAGACAAACCAAACGACTACCTATAGTTTTCATCTTTTACATATTAGAATGATAATCATCTTCTTGCTCCTCTTGAAGGTTCCGGAATGAGCTCCCTGACCCTAGTGCACAGCTTAAGCTTATGACCATTAAACGGGATAAGGATCAGTATGTTTGTTACTCTATTGCCAAAAAGATCATCCAGATTTATTTCCTGAAATCCGTTGTGTTATTCTCCTTTCCTTACTTCTTAATGCTGATACAGCTATTTGATCACACTAGATTTACAAAGTATACCATCACATCGCTGGAGAAATTATGGAAACCAAAGATCTTTGTCGAGCCTGATCTTGGAATACCCTTGGATCTCCTTGACATAAGTGTATACAAGTATGATCTCTAAATAAGGTTATATTGCGTCTTTAATGCGAGAAACCTCATCCACTGGGATACTAGCTTACTGTTGTATCGCTTTTCAGCCCTCCCAAAGTCAAGGCACCTCTTGCCCCTGAAGATGAAGAACTGTTGCGTGATGATGATGCTGTTACTCCTATTAAGAAAGATGGCATCCGGAGAAAAGAAAGACCAACTGATAAAGGTGTTTCCTGGCTCGTGAAAACACAATACATTTCTTCTATTAATAATGAATCGGCAAGACAGGTATCAGTCTCACTTGTTAGAGATTTCTTTTGTGTTGTATAGCTTGTAGAAACAGTTTCCAATCTCCTATCTTCTTCATGTGTAGTCGCTAACTGAGAAGCAAGCAAAGGAATTGCGAGAGATGAAAGGGGGCATAAACATCTTGCAAAATCTGAACAATAGGTGTGTTGTTTCTCAAATTTGTGTATAATCTAAAGAAAGTGGAAAGGTCTAATGGTTTCTTATTGTTTGGTCTCTAGAGAGAGACAAATCAAGGATATTGAAGCATCCTTTGAGGCATGCAAATCTCGACCAGTTCATGCCACCAATAAAACCTTGCAACCGGTTGAAGTTTTACCACTCTTGCCATATTTTGATAGGTTTGATGCTTGTTATTTTCCCTTGCAGACAATCTTATATCTGAAAATCCCAACTCAGCATATTTGTCACATAGTAGCCCGGCATGTAGCCACAGCAACAAAGCACTTGAAATCTGACACTTTACAGTTTATATGTATGTTGGCATTTTGTGAAGGATCTCTTGTGGTGGTAAACATGCACATATAGTTTTCCAATTGCTATAGGATAGTGTAATCAATCGGATGGGAAAGCCAAGCTTTGTTGGTTTTTAATTTTTTCCCTTTTCTCTGCTCGAACTCTTGTTGAAATGTTTCTTTGCTAGATTTTTAGTGCATTGCCTTTTGGATGAAAAATCCACGAATAATTTTCACTGAATGTGTAGCATACTATGCTAATACATATGGCTCTTCTCTTCTTGTTCTTACACAGGTACGATGAGCAGTTTGTGGTAGCAAATTTTGATAGTGCTCCTACAACTGATTCTGAATGCTTTGGCAAGTTGGACCCTTCAATTCGTGATGAACATGAGTCACGGGTGAGTTATGTGTTACCGATATCCATGAGCATAGTCCAATTATCTTTGTTCTATATCGTAGGGATACTTTGTTCCGGAGAGACGAGATGACTATATAAACTATATCGCTTTTGTTGCTTAACATAACTGTAGTCAAATATATATGAGATATGGGATCGAATCTTGACAATGGTTGATTGCCGTATTTTCATTTTGATGACGAGCTCTGACTGCATACTGCACAGGCCATTTTGAAAAGCTATGTGGTGGCTGGATCAGACACGGCCAATCCAGAAAAATTTCTGGCGTACATGGTTCCTTCCTTGGATGAGGTAGACATGCCTCTCCACAAAACGATCTCTATTACACAAGTTTTGACAAGTCAAGAAAAGTTCAACTTGATTGACTCGTTTCAATTATGTTGCTGTGCCAGTTGTCTAAGGATATGCATGATGAAAACGAAGATATCTCTTACACATGGGTTCGCGAATACCACTGGGATGTATGTACCATAACCAATGTGGTTTGAGTAAAATTTTGACTGTTTGAGGCGCAGATTGAAATAAATGTTACCTGATGGTATAACAGGTACGCGGCGACGATGCAAACGATCCTGAAACATACCTGGTATCATTTGACGATGGGACCGCTAGCTATCTGGTATTTCCTAACCTAAACCTGCATCAGTTTTTGTTACATATTCCAGTTGTGTATTTTTTCTGTCTATGATACTTCTGGATGACCCTTGAGAATTTGGCAGCCCCTACCCACTAAGCTGAACTTGAGGAAAAAAAGGGCCAGGGAAGGAAGATCTTCTGATGAGATTGAACACTTTCCAGTACCTTCAAGGGTGACTGTAAGGCGAAGATCAACTGTAACAGTGATAGAACATAAAGATTCAGGGGTATAGTAAATCCATATATTTATTGTATAAGAAAATAACACAAGAAGTATGTATTTGGAAAGTTCTCTACTTCTTTTGCCAATCTGTTTGGACTTTGGGGATTTGGATGTAGGTTTACTCTTCTAGGGTTGGTGCTTCGAGCTCCAAGATGAGAAGGTTAGAGGACGAAGAAGGCCTTGGTAGATCCTGGAAACACGAGCCGGAACAAGATGCCAATCAATATAGTGATGGTAATGAGGATGATTATTCTGAATGAACGTTTCATGTACTTCAAACTATTCAATCAATCTTCCAACGGTGTGTAAAGTATCCTGCAAGTCTACTTGTAGCCTCGTGATTTGGCAAGTAAAGAAATATTCATTTGGATAGCTGCAGAAGTTGAGAAATTAGTTTACATGTACACGTCCATGGTTGATGATATGGCCATGACGTTAGGCTTTACTCTTTGATTCTATCTTCGTGGATCTTTGCCCATCAATTCACTATCTCACAAGCCTTGAACTTCTCATAAAAACTTCTCATAAACACCAAAGCTTTGAGAACTACACCAATGGTACAAAGGTACTCTATTACAAGAAACAAGAAGAGATTAGTTTCAACACGAGAGCAAAATTTCTAGGGTTCCGGGTGACTGTAAACAATTTAGTGTTAGGGATTACTATACTTCAAATTAGATATACTGTTCATATACACTGTATATTTATATGGTTTAGAGTTACTGTTCATTTAGCGTTTATGGTTACTGTTCATTTAAGGTATAGGGTCACTGTTCATTTAGGGGTTAGGTCACTGTTCATTTAGAGTATAGAGTTAATGTTCATTTAGAGTTAAGTGTTTCTGTTCATTTAAGGTTAAGTGTTTCTGTTCATTTAGGGTTTAGAGCTACTGTTCATTTAGGGTTAAGGGTATAGGGTTTAGGGTATAGGGTTTAGGGTATAGGGTATAGGGTATAGGGTTCAGGGTATAGGGTTTAGGGTATAGGGTATAGGGTATAGGGTTTAGGGTATAGGGTTTAGGGTATAGGGTTTAGGGTATAGGGTATAGGGTTTAGGGTTTAGGGTATAGGGTTTAGGGTTTAGGGTTTAGGGTTTAGGGTTTAGGGTTTAG